CCCCCCAGTGCCTCTGCCAGAGCATCCTTCATGTCACTGCACACCCAGTGCCCCTGCCTGCATCCCAAACACATCCATGGGGAATCCCAGATCCCAGACTCCACCAGCACCTCACCCACATCCTGCCCAAACACTCTCAATGCCATTCTTAAATCCCAAACTCATCCTTCCCCTCGGATGCACCCCGGGTACCTCAGGCTGCCTACGGGGTGCAACCACGGGCTGGGGGACCCTGGTGTGCCCTGCCCGGGCAGCTGTGGCACCACCACACCATGTTCACCCCCTAGGATGGAGGGCCGTGGACCTCCTGTGTCCCTGGCTGGCGAGTCCTGTGCCTGCTGCACAGGCTCATGTCTCAGGGACCCTGGGGGACATGATCCTCCGCTCCCGACCGTTCCCCGCGGCGAGGGGACCATTGTGATTTGGAGGCATTGTTGGGGAGGGGAATGAATCACCCTTTGTGCTGCAGGGGAAGGTCTCTGCACCCCGCCCCTCGCTGCTGGACCTGCTTTTGTCTGAGAAACTCTTCTCAAAGCTCAGCCCAGGCTGTGCCACCCCTCCTGTGCTGGCACCCACGGACAGCAGAGGGCTCTGACTCTGCTGGGGTGGAGAAGGGCACAGAGGGCTGGTGGGGCAGAGACCACCAGGAACAGAGTAACCTCCTCCTCTTAAAAACAGCTACCCCCTTTTACCACAGCTTTCTGAAACAAAGACTTCAGAAATCTGTCCAGCACACCCCAGCCTTCGTTAGGAGAAGCAGAGAGCCCAGAGGCAGCAAAGGGGCAGGGCAGGTGAATGCTGCAGAGCCTGACCTGGGCCAGCTCCCAACTTTGGGTTCCCCTTCATGTTATGGATGCTTGAATGCAAACCTGGGGCATGAGAGGGTCCTGAGGGCCAGGACAAGAGCTGAGACAGAACGGGAACCCCCTCCCCAGGCTTTGGATCTCACTGGCAACCTCAGCAGCTTGTCACCCCTCTCTGCCCCCAGCAGCATCCCCCTGCCACCCCAATTCCTGGTGCTCACACCCGGTTGAGCTCAGCCAGGCAGTGCAGGGCTGCTCCCCCCAGCCCCAGCACCCCCAGCACGCCCAGGGCAGCAGGGCTGGGGGGCATCAAATATTTATCAAAGCCCCAAAGAGCAGGTAAGGGAGGGGATTGGGTTTCCCAGCTCACCCCTCGGGGCTTTGTGTGTGCCAGGCTCTCTGCCAGCCACCCATGAATAAGTAACGGGCCCCTTGCCGTGACACCGGCTGCCAGGAGCTGCTGCCACCCCCCCCCCACGCTGCACCCAGCAGGGACCTCGCTGGTGCTGGGGGCAAGAGGCAGCAGTGCCCAGGGGGCTGGAAAGCAGGCAAGGGTCTTAAAGATTCCCTAAGAGTGATTCCTTCCAGGAGCACAACCCCCTTTGCTGTCTGGCAGAGGCAGAGAGGGCCACGGCTCGGTGTCTGCAGGGTTTGGTCCCTGCAGAGTTTGGTCCCTGCAGAGTTTGGGGCTCACACATCATCCTGAGCTGGGGACACCCCTTGTGACAGCTGCAAGCAGGGAACCCACGCCAAAGGGAGGGCAATTCTCAGCCACATCAAAAGTTGTGTTGCCCAGCACTAAGTGCCCAGGAAGATGCTTCCCAGAGGAGTTTCTCTCCATGTCTCATGATCCATGTCTCAAAGCCTCTGCAGAGCTCTTTCCTCTCTGCTTCCAGACACCTGCCTGGCAGCACATCAGCTCAGCCAGGCAGCACTGACCTGTCCCTGTGCCCGTGGCAGGGTGTGAGGCCAGAGGGTGGCTGGGCAGGTCACCCCCTCCCCAGCACTGGCAGGGGATGGGTCCCACATGTCCCCGTGTCCCTTTTGCTGCAGTGGGCAGAGCCAGCTCCAGCACCGAGTGGCATCAGGCTATGGCAGAGCACAGGGCTCGCTGTGCTGCAGGTGGAGATGGGCACCCATCGGGCACCCTGCTGTCACCCCTGAGCCCCCCAGACAGGCACAGGGGCAGCAGGTCACCCACTCCCACCCTCCTGTGTGCCAGCCAGGGCCAGCAGCATCACCTCCACTGCAGCGCTCACAAACACCCGCTTGGGATGAGCTGCTGAAGCCACAGAGCCAGTGCCCAAGCACCCACAGCACCCTGACAGCTCCAGAGCATGGAGGAACACGGGGGAATTCTGATGGAAATGGTCATGGGATGGGGTTGTTCCAGCTCCAGGCTTCCTGAGGGCCCCATCACTTCTGCCATCCCACGAGAGATGGGGATGGGACCCAGCTGCTCCCACCAAGCCAGGCAGGACTGAATGTCCCCGTGTGGCCCGTGCCCGGGGCACCCCAAAAGGCTGCCCGGGGAGGGGGGTGCCCAGCCCCACGCCGTTACCTCCACGAGCCTGTCCTGGGGCCTCAGCCCTGCTCTGGAGGCCGGTGAGTCGGGGTCCACCGAGCGGATGAACTGCCCCGGCCGGGACTTCTCGCTGTGCAGGTTGAAGCCGTAGCCATTGGGGCCCTTCTTCATGTGGCACAGCCGAGGCCGCAGCTCCTCCTGCAACGGGGACAGCCCGTGGGAAAGCTGCTCCCGGCCCAGACCACCAGGCGCCTGCTCGGGCGGCAGGGACGCCAAAAACTCAGTTTGTAGGTTGGGTTTTGCTGTGAAGCAGACCCAACCATAAATCAAAAGGAAGCACCGTATCTGCAGCCCGTCCTCCTGCACGGGGACAGGTTAACAAATGGATTTCCTCTCATTGAGCCTATTTTAGAAAATCAATTGTCCGAAACCACACCAGAAAAATGAAAACAAAACAAAATATGCATTTCCTGCACCAGAAGCAGCCCAGATAAAGCCCACCCACACGCCGAGACACCCCCAGCAGCAGCCGAGCCCCGGGCAGGGAGGGGACAAACACAAGAGCCTGGGTGAAGCACACGGGCTCCAAGACACTGGGTTAACCCCAGTTATTTAAAGCAGTGCCATGCCCTAGGTCCTGGCAACACCAGCATCACCCCTGGGTACAACCACCTCCCAGCAGAGGGGCTCTGGGGGTGATGAACCCCACGCCCGGCAGCTCCCTGCAGCATGGAAAAGCTGAGCTTGCTGGAAAATGCTTTATGGCTGCTCAGGGAGCTGGGGGAGCAAAACTTTCAGCTTCCCTCCAGGTCTGCAGGACCCATTACACTCCCTCAGATGCTGCTCTCCCCACCAGCCTCAGCACAGCCCCTTCCAGCCCACGCCCTGGGGCCACCAGTTCACGGCACAGCTCCACGGCACCTCGGGGACACGGGTGTTCAGCTTCATCTCCAGGGTAAGGAAAACATCCCCTGTGGCTGAGTTTTAACCTTTCGTCAAAAGAAACACTGCTCCCCTCCCGCTAACAGATCTGACTTTTTTCAGATCACATTTGTGGGGAAACCTCATCCAGCCTTTCCTTTCAAATTAAAAACCCAGGCTCCAACTTCCTCCGCATCATTCTCTGGGCCAAGAAGCACCATGAAACACCAGCCCTGCACCTCTTCCCCTCCTGTCGCATGCCCAGAGTGTCCTCCCTCCCTCCTTCCACAGCTCTGGGGCTCCCACATGCCCTGCAGGAACTGCTGGTGCCAGCAGCTCCTGGCACACGCAGCACCCTGGAGTTATTTCTGCAAGAACATCCTCGATGTTGCTTAAAAGCTGCTTCCTCTCCAGGAGGGGCTGCGGGAGCTGGGGGCACCCATGGCTGATGCCCACCCATGGCTGATGCCCAGGAGATCTGGGCACCTGCTCCAGTTGCAGATGTCGAGTGGATTAGTTGACCTTAAAAGGTCCCTCCCCACCCAGCCTGGTCGATGATTCTATGATCTGGCCTGGCCACCACCCATGTGGGTGACCCGGGGGACAATGCCCCAGCTCTCCAACTGCACCTGGACCCCGTGTGGTAAGAGCCAAACCAGCCAAAGGACATTTCCCACAGCCACCATGGACCTGGGCTATGCCCAGGGTCCTCTCATGGCCCAGTGACAACAGGGAATGACTCTGCTTGGAATGACACAGGCCAGCTTCTGGCCACTGCGAGTCACAGTGGGGCAAACGCACAGCGGGGAGAGCAGTGGAGAGCTGAGTGGATCCACGAGCACTCCCTGAGCTCCCAGCTCCCCGTGGGGACAGGGGGGACCCCAGGGTCAGCCCCTAACTCCTGCAGGAGGGGATGGGGAGAGCAGTGACACAGCCAGTGTGGATCACCCCACGTCCCTGTCCCCAGCTGGGTCCCCCAACTGGCAGAGCTCAGGGCCAGAGTGCCCCAAGCAGCACGGGCACCTCCGGCCACCTCCCCCAGCCTGGGGGATGCTGCTGGCAGGGCACGGAGCCCACGGGGCAGCAGGAGGGAGCAGATGACAAATAATCCCAAATAATCCCAGCAGGAAACCCCCACTTGGTGCCACAGAGAGCAGGTGGCCCTGTGCCACCATCCATGAGCACCCAGCAAGGGGGGGGACCAGGCACTCTGCTCCCCCTGGCACCAACTGCCTCTCACAGGGTTTAATGCAATGGGGTGAGACCTGGGATGGGGTAAGGGGAGGCAGAAACCCACCAAAATTGCTTCACTGGAGGGAGAACTCCCCCTCACCCCATCCAGCACTCACTGCTTCAATGGGGCGTCAAATATCCCAGCAGAGCTCTGCTCAAGCTGCTGATGAAATGCTCAAGCTGGAGGAGTTCAGGGGATGGCTCTGGCATGGCTGCAGCCTCTGTCCCCACACAGCCCTTTGGTGGGAACAGGAATGCAAAAAAACCACTAATTCATAGAATCATAGACTGGTCTGGGTTGGAAGGCACCTCAAAAATCACCTAGTCCAACCCCCTGCCATGGGCAGGGACACCCCACACTAGAGCAGGTTGCTCAGAGCCCCATCCAACCTGGCCTTGAACACTTTCAGGAATGGGGCATCTACATCTTCTGGGGCAAAAAGCAGGGGGAATTTTGGGCATGGCTGCAATGCCCAGGGGAGCATCCACAGACAGGGATCAGGACTCAGGACCAGCTGAGTCCCAACAGCCAGGAAGAAAAGAGGGATGTGAGATGAGCAGCCCTTGCTGGACACCAGGTCAGGGCTGCCCGTGATGCCAGAGCTCTGGTGCAAGAGAGACACCTCAGCCACCCTGACACCTGGGGGCCAGAGTGCCAAATTCTTCAAAAAACACTAAAAAACAAGAGCCACTGTCAGCAGCACCCATCAAGGGCACAGGGGCTCGACTGGACCAGCTGCAAACTGCACCTGAACCTTTGCAGATCAACCTGGAGATGCAGATTCTTCCTTCAAAAAAGCACAGAGGGAGCTGCAGGAAGAGTCTGATCAACAGCTCACGTGCTGCTGCTGAGCTTGCAGGGCACGAGGATGCTCCCAGGGCAAGTTCTGGGGGAAAACAGACTCACAGGTAACCTCCCAGGGAGACGCTCATGGCAACAACACCCCAACACCCAGATTGGATCTGAAAGGTGAAAACCATCATTGCAACATCCACTGCTGGCTAAAACCCAGCTCCTGCCAAATCAGGGCAGGGCTCCAGCTACCTGCCCGGCAGAAGCCCGGAGAGGCTCCCCCGCCTGCCACCACCCAGTGCTCCCATCCTCACCCCCTCAATCTTCACCCGCCCGTGGTTTTCCCATGGCCCTGGAGCAGTGGGTTCACCCTGTCTGCAAACAGCTCCAGCTCTCCTCCGAGCTCTTCAAACACTGAAGAAAACAGGAAATGATTCAACTGGTCAAAAAGGGTCAGAGCTGGGCGACCTCGAGGGATGCACGGGGCTCTGTGCAGCTAGGAAAAGGGCCACGTCGCTGAGCAGGGGGGAAAGCATCAGGGGTCACCTATTCCCACCTCAAAAATGACTTTTTTTGCAAATCACTTCCCTCTTGCTCCATTTTTACAGGCTCAGCAGGGCAAAAAGCACCAAGAAAACCACCCTAAAGTGGCACGCTGCAGCTGCCATCCCGGCGTGGGGATCCCCAGGGCTTGGCAGGCAGCAGGGGGGACACGTGGCAGGGACGGTGCCACCACCCTGGGGGGATCCCCCCTGAAATCAGATTCCTCAATAAATAAACCACGCAGGGGAGAGCTTTGCCTGCAGGAGCTCGTTGGCTGCGAGGGGGGTAACCGGTGCCCTGCGCTTGCTCCGGTTTCACCACAAAAATCTCAGATTCAAGGTCCTTAACTAAAATGAGTTGGAGATCTCTGGTTTATAAATAAATCAGTACACAAACACAAAAATAAATCCCAATTCGGCATCTGTTTGGAGAAGAAATCCTCAAGCAAAACTGCTTATCCTTGCAGAGATGATCCAGGGCTTTCGCCACGCTCTTAAACTTCCCAACCAACGAAATCCTTGGCTGCTGGACAGAACAGGTCTTGGAGCACAGCTCTGCAAAGCCCCTCGCTGGGATGAAGCAAGGACAGATCCTCCCCTCGCCTCACCCAGCGCCCAGCACATGCTCCAACACTTTGCTCTTCCATCTGGGCTGCCACGGAGCCGCCGCGTCTCTTGCCAGCTCTGCTGGTTATTTTCTTTTTGACCCGTGCCAACGTTTCCCTGGTTGTGTTCTGGGAAGATATTTCCTAAGCTCCCAGGGGGGGATTTTTTTGCCTTTGTGAAAGCCAAACCTTGCGACAAAGCGTTCCCTGGAAGAGTGGCACGTTCTCTGGGCTTCCCAAAAAAAACACTTCAGAGGAGGCTCCGCCGCCCTTCCGCACGCCAAGGGCACCAAAGCCACTCTGGGTAAGCTACATTCACACCTCTGCTAGAAAGCAACAAAAAAGAGTCACTTTTGGGTCTATTTGTACATAAAAACTGCAAAACAAAGCCAATTTTTTCTCCAGGGATCCAGACACCACCAGCGGCCACCGAGGAGCTGATCTGGATGGAGAAGCAGCAGCGTGGGAGGGGTGCACGAAATGCTGCCTGGAAAAACCACCCCCAGAGGTGCCACTCCAGGCAAATCATCATCAGTTCAGGAGGAAAAAGGTTTCGGAAACGCTGTTCAAGCTGGTCCATTTAAAAACACACAAACAAGACATTAAATAACAATGAAACGCTTTCAATAGAAATAATAATTACCAAAAAAACTTGGTTGGGTGTTGCCAGCTCTCACAATCTCGTTGCAACATCTCATTGCAGCTCTTGCAGCATCTCATTATTTTCCTTTAGTTTCCAGTGTTGCTGCTGGGGTCCTCCCAGGGACACCCTTTGGCTCACTGGGGACCCCTCCTTAGCCAGGGACAACCCCTGGTTCACCAAGACACCACAGCACAGGCTTCATGCCACCACCTCATGCAGGTCCCTGCAGTGACCAGGGACACTTTGGTGTCTCATTTGTACACCTGGATGTTCCAGGCACACGCCACCATGGAGCCAGTGCCATAAATGTCACCAACTCTGATTGCCAAGGGGTTTCCATAGAATTAATTAGTAGGTGCCAGCCTCCACACAAGCAGAATCCACTTGCAGATGCACCAAGGCACCAGCACTTTGGTCTTTTCCATTTGCTAGAATAGGCTTGCCCCTTGGATTTTGAGGGGCAGCACAGTAGCCCCTCCACATTCCCCTGTCCAAGCAAAACCCACCTGCTTCTAGAAAAACTCCTCCCTGGCTCCAGCACCCACACACCAGCCCAAACTCAAGG